CTCCATCCCATCCGTGGATTCACCACGGAAAGTGCGAAGTCGTTCACGCAAACGACTGGCGTAATCCGCTGTCTGAAATCAGGAGAGACAGAAAACGTAACATTGAATTTCGGGTTACCCAACCATCCTTTGCTTCTTTACGGTTGAATCAATGAAAGTTTTCTCGTGTGGCGTTTTCCACTGGTAACATTTCCATGCATTGAAATCGAATTAAGAGCGGCTTCATCTAGATATCACGTATTTGTGCTGAAAATAGATACCGCGAAACCCGAAGAGAATCTCTATTGCGAGGAGGACAAAGCCACCTTTTGAAAATCACTGGCATCAGAACAACAGTAACTGTTACCAAGGCTCCTGTTACACACATTTACGGCAAGAATACCAAACGATCACCTTTTCCGAGTACCAATGATACCAGCTTTTTCTCTCGCTGACACATGTAGAATATCGTGGTTAAGACGAACAACTTGTTTAGGATGAAACGGCACAACTGGCACAACATTGTTCATAATAAAAATCGATATAAGACATTAGAAAACATTTTGAATTTCATTCGTTGAATTAAAAACCGGAACAAAAAGTTAAGGATGATAATCCCAAATAATAGTTAAATTAGATAAAGATAAGCTGTTTTTGGATCACAACATACAATGAGAAATTTGCAGTTTATTTTTCATTAGTAGATCTCAATATCAACAAAACATGCCTTGAATACAAACAGGATCACGAAAGATCATTGCCAAATAAAATGTCGATTGGGAAGTTAAAAAGACAGAATGCTCTGCCTATCTTTGATTGAAACGAGGACTGACAGACGAAAGAACATGCGTACAGATCACATTGATGCCCTGCCCTCAGTTTACTCACGCGCATAGTTTGAGCTCTCCTCATGTCATGTGACGAGCCTCGTTCAATCGAATCGTATTGACGCCTATCTAGACTGGCGGTGACCTTGTATTCACCTGGGCCTTGACGCACGTCTAAAATCTGGAAAACGTTGAACAGCAGAAAACGAGTCAGGTGATCTGTTTGCATCTAATGGCTGGGTGACATGCAGAAGTTGTTTCGATCAAGGGAAACACTATGGATGATGAATAGGTGCAAAATGTGTGTAATCTCCACAGACTGCCTACAATTAGACAAAAAATAATAGTTACTCTGGTACACAGCAGTGTCAACGTGTGTTACAAATTAGACTCATTGATTAAATAGTGCTACTTGAATTAGCAGAAGGAAGGTTATGGAGATGAACAAAAACAAACTAGCACAGGAAACCGGATGGTAACTAAGAATAGCCATTTGAATAGATCATGCTTGCTTTAAGGAAGTGAATCAGCTGAGGGCTCACGATTAAGCTGATCAGAACAAATGGAAGTAAACCGTTTTGTATTCCGTGAAAATATTGGTTCCCAAACAAATAATCATCTGGGTACAGGCAAATGGAGTTATTCAGTTCTGACCCACCAACTGCTTTTCGGGTGTCAGCTAACCCCAGTTTAATGAAGTGGTTTTCCAGGTGTCATTTGGATCAAATTAAGGCAATCAATAAGGATAACTGATCTAGAACTGGGTAACATAAGTACATACCCTTCCCAATCAGATCTTGAACATGATTCGTATACATCGTAGGATGTCATATGGGCTCACACAACAAAAGATCTTCGTCCAAACTAAGTTGTTTAAAGTGAGTCGGATAAAATATTAAGCAGCACATCAACACAACTGAATGTGAGAACAATCTGCACAGTTCGTGAGGTAATACCATTGAACTCTACACCGGTTGCTTTGAGTCTATATGATTGACTAGTTTTTCGAAACTCCCCATTTGAGGTGCAGTTGGAGACCACCATGAGATGTATAGAGCAGCTTTGGTATATTTGGAATATCAATCGTTCATACAATCTAGATTTATCAGATTTCATGACCTCATTTGCTTTTGGACAAACAGAGAGAAGTCTAGATTCTAATTCAAATGAAATCAGCATTCCCAAGACCTGGATTACCGCATCACTTTATGATTTTTAATCATTTCCGTATTTATACTAGAATTGTAATAAACATTTGCCTCTTTTAAAACGCGAGCTTAGAAGATTGATTTATGAATTGAGCCCATTAAACAGTCTAAAAAATGATCCCACTCAAGGCACACGAACTCCAAAAAACATTTGAGATCAGTATCTGCTCAGTTTGGTGAACAAACTTAGGAGAAAACGCTTCACACAAACACATGAAACCGGCAAGCGTGAGGGGCAGTACGAGTGAAGGTTAGAAGTGATAGAAATGGCACCGAATTTTTAATTATTTTTCCGATGCGTAAAAGATGTTATTCATGTTGCAGTTGGAAAAGGTGGCAAACGAGACAATCACAAGGATACTTATTATCTGAAGCAGTCTTGTCAAGGTTTATTTCGCAGAAAAATCTTAACAATTTTCGAACCGCAACTGATTCCACAGTATAACTACACGTACATCTCACTGTGCTCGTTCATGGTTATTGCAGACCAACTTCATTGGATAAACTGATTGTGTCCGTTTTCTACCTTTCTACCCGAAAATAAGTGGATAAACTACGTTCCGCACCATTGGCGGGTGAGGAAAGGGGTTTCATTTCCCCGGAAGGCTTCAAACCAAAATGAACCGATCAAAGGGAGCACGAAATCAGGTAAGCGGTATTATTGGCAGGGTAGTGCGACAGGGTTAGCTGAGTGATTTGCCCAGTCCACGAGAGCACGCGTGTGATCAGATGCGATTGTGGCACATGCGATTTGCGGCAGATTGCAGCTGGCTCAGCTCACCTGTTCCTCATTCACCTGATACGGTAACCCAGTAGAAATATTCACCTCAGCTGATGTCGGAGCTACCGTGTGTATCATGTCCACCCGTCGCTTTACCACGTCGGGTTGGGAAAGCGAATCTTCCGAATGAAAAGTTTGATAATCCAGCGGAGAAAGTACAGGACGTGAAATTGGCCGAGGTGGCTTGGGCGAATAGCCTGCCATCGTGCCTGGTGAACGTACCGTGGGTGGCGTTTTTTCGGGATTGGTGCCATCTTCCGTGTTTAGTCGATTCAGAAACACTTTTTGCGGGCGACCTCGTTCCACAAATACTGGCCGAATTCGATCCTCTTCTACAGCTCCTTCGAATGTCACACCAGTAGTGGCAATTGATGCAGCTGTCCAGTTCAACACTCGATCCTAATGAGGAAGAGGTGAAATGCATTGAAACACAGCCAGGTGTAGCCCACAATTGGACTGTAAACATTTCTGACTTCATGGTGTCACTACTTGTTTTTTTGCAAGTAGTGAGAACGAAAGATGGACTATGTTCGGGTGCATTCGTTGCATGCTGCGGTAGATTTGTCCTTCAGTACATTCTGCACACAATTAAATGGAGAATGAAACCAGAATCTGAATATCTATTTAGCAGCTAGCACTAACAGATTCATGCCATATACCTCATTCTTTGTGACTCAGTCGGTTGTTTTATGCGGTTGGTTGAACAGTATTATGCAGTTTCCAATAAAATGCAGGCGAATCGATGCGAAGCATAGCTGGTACGGAAAACGGTTGTTCACCGTGATCGGTTAACAATCATGCAAAGCAAGCACCGTTTCATGCCATGGAAACGCATATCAGGAAATGACAACAGTTTTGATAAAACCACTCGGTCATTACCCAATTGCCGGCTAATCAGTGCATGTGCAATAATTGAGAAGCCAGGGACAATGGAAAGGCGACACAGGAACAATAACAACGTTTATTTAACAGCTGTGCATGCCATTTGATTTCGTCTTCATCCATCTATCTAACTGACCTTGTCTTCATTGTTCTCCTTGTCAGCATTTATGGAAACCTCAATCCCTCCAGGAGAGGCATGTACCTGAAAAATAATTGATTCATCACGAAACACAGTGAACAGCGGCGTTTCAGCCATTGGAAAAGTGCAAGATGCCTCTACTAAATAAAGAACAATACTGAAGCTGCTCATCGGATATATAAGAATATCAGTGCTCCAATATTACGGGTGAGGAATGAATCGCGCTGACGAAGGCTCTGTAGTTGTTCAGATTCGCTTGACGACATTTATCGTCTCGGAAGAAGGGTCAGGGATAAAACACTGTAACAGATATATATTTATCCACATTGATACTCGTGATCTCCTAAATGTTACTTGACCTTTGAATGGAATAAGTTATAGTGTAAAATAGTGATGAAATGTGACTNNNNGTGACTTGAGGAAAGCTATTCAGAGAAACATGCATTCTTTCATAAAACATGTTATTTATATTTCAGAAGAAAATGTAGATATTTGGTTGATTGGCATTTGATTGTTGAAAATACGTTTCAAATAATTTTATTTTGAACGTCAGGATTGCCTCAGAAAGCCTCAAATGACAACTAACAATGTCGTATCAATTTAAGTATTCACAATAGCTTATCAGATGGAATAT